TTAATGAATTTGATATAATTTATTATTAGTGTACATGTTTTGTTTGATTAATTAAAACTGATAAATAAAAAACTAAATAAACCATAAAAACGATTTAAAATCACAAAATAAGGAAAAAAAAAGTTTTTTGGTCCTTTATCTACAGGCCGTTTTTAATTTGGTACCGTAAATGAACTGTTTTTGGAAATAATCCACTAACTGAAAAAAATTAGCTTTTTGGTCCTCTGACCGCCTATATCAAGTCATTGTGACCGGCTGAGCTATGTGGAAATTCGCCGATTTTTTTTTTTTTGTTGGTCCAATGGGGCACAAAAGGTGCTCACGAACCACTTGAGCTAGCACCAATTATGTTAATTATTTAACTTTAATTATATATCTACCAACATCTTTTTATCTAATATATATATTATTCAATTTGTACTACTTTTTATTATAAAAATTATTCATATATTATTAAATTCATTTAATTTTATTAATATATTAAATATATATTTACTAATGAGTAAATATTATAAATAAATTATTAAATATTATTAAATTCGCTTTATATAATATATACATTATTCAGTTCGTACTACTTTTTAATTTAAATAAACTTTTTTATATATTAAATATATTCTTACTAAATAAAAGAATATTGGATATTAAAATAAATAATATATTATAATTTTATTCATCATTTTAATTATTTAATAAATAATATTTAACGTACTTAATTAAATTTAATTTGATTATTAAATAAATATTTACCAAAGAAATAAATATAATAAATAATATAATAAATAATAACATTTACCAAATAGATAAATATATTAAATAATATAATAAATAATATTACTTACCAAAAGAATAAATACATTAAATAATATAATAAATAATATTATGTTTATATAATATAATAAAAAATAATATATTTATATTATTTAATAAATTCATTTATTTGGTAAATATTATACATTATATTATTTGTATAAATTTAGTATAATGTATAATATTTACCAAATAAATAAATTAATTAAATAGCATAATAAAAAAATAATTATTTACTAAATAAATACGTAAATTAAATAATATAATATTTACTAAACAAATATAATAAATAATATGACTAATTTTATATCTATATTAAAAAATGTTTACTAAATAATAAAATTTATGAAATAATATATTATATAATATAATTAATTTTTTTGTGTATTAAATAAATATTGATCAAATAAATAAATATATTAAATAATACAATAAATAAATATACTTAATAATAATAAGAAGTAATAATATTTACCAAATAAATTTTAGATAATATAATTTTTAGTATATTTAGTATTTATTTATTATTTAATATATTTAATAAGTAAATATTATTGTATTATTTAATAATATTTATTAATTTATTTATAAGATTTACTCATTAGTAAATATTTGTTTAATATATTAATAAAATTAAATGAATTTAATAATATATGCATAATTTTTATAATAAAAAGTAGTACAAATTGAATAATATATATATTAGATAAAAAGATGTTGGTAGATATATAATTGAAGTTAAATTATTATGTAATTGGTGCTAGCTCAAGTGGTTCATGAGCTCCTTTTGTGCCCCATTGGACCTGGGTTCGAATCCTCTCAACAGCACATTTTTTGCAATTATTCCACATAAGCGCCACGTGGCATTACAACTCAAATCGGCGAATTTCCACGTAGCTCAGTCGGTCACAATGACTTGATATAGGCGGTCAGAGGATAAAAAAACTAATTTTTTTTCAGTTAGGGGACTATTTCCAAAAACAGTCCATTTACGGTACCAAATTAAAAACGGCATGTAGATAAAGGACCAAAAAACTTTTTTTTTTTTTTCCCACAAAATAATATTAACCATGTATCACGTGGGCTTTACTAGTTGGTAATAAAATTGCATGTGTTTATTTTACTTTTGAAAACTTACAATCTACCAATGGAAAAGTATTTTCTAGTTATAACAAGTCAGTAATTTTGATAATCTGCTCAATATAGAATTCTATAAATAAAAACGCACAACATGCAAAGGTATAACTCCTAGCTGAATGGAATAACTAACAGCTAAAAAAATTGGGAGAAACAACTAACAACTGAAAAAATTGGGAGACGTAACAAAAGTCCGCCTAGAATCGAGCCTAGCAACGCTAAAACCTAAAACACAACACCACAAACACGACAAACATTAGTGAGCTCCCAAAGGGAGAATAACAGATCTCAAAAGGATAATGTCCGCTTACACACGAGCTTAGCAGGGCTAAATTCACCATCCTCGATGACAAGATTATTTTTATTTTGCGTTTTACTTAAGAATATAATGAGTATGTACTCATAGCCTTTCAATCTAATAACTTTATATAATTATTTCCTTATAATTTTTTTTAAACACAGCCAGCTCCAGACTACATAGAGTTCACCAAGTTACTCAGGTGTAGCATATTACATTTATAATACTCTGGAGTGGAAGTTGAACTCTTGACCATTTACATTATCAGCAGTAATTTATTTAAGATGGAAACTGAAAACAAAGGTTAAACCCACACAGTTTACTTGTGAAATAATTGAGTATATGTATCATCATTCTTTTCTGATTTACAAAGGTATACAACTTGTATGGCAGTCGTTTATAGTTACAATAATCAGATGTGAAGCGAAAAGCAGCTAATGGCTGAGAGCATTAAGAAGAGAAACTCTGGTTTTGACTAAACTTCTAAACAAGGCTTCTAAGCACTCTTCAAGTTCTTGGATGCTCATTTCCGAGGCTTTTAACTGCTTCAACGTGGCTTTGCTGTCCATGTTTTTTAGCGCCTTTTGGATATCCAGTGAACACAAATTCTCATCGCGACTTTCTTGCTCGGCCTCATCATGTACACGCCCTGTACTTTGGGTGAACTTTGAAAGCAATGTGGACCAGCTCTTTTTGCTTGACTTTTCCCTTTCCCCGGACAAGAGTACCAATACGGACCTAAGGATCGCCGAATCAAGTGACTCTGTCTCTTTTACCATCATCCCTATGGCTGCTGGGAATGGAGTAGAGTTTTGATTAGAGGTCTTCAAATTCTTGATGCACTTGTTGACCATCTTGTTGACTTTCTTTCTTGACGCCACATAAATGCTGACGTCATCTGCTTGTCGTCTAATGGAGGACGCAAGGTCTTGAACAGATTCCTTGGTTAATTGCAGAATGTCTCTAGAAACACCACAGATGTCGACTAGCCTTAGAGATCCGTCAAGCAACTCATTTATCCAAGTTTCACCTTGTTCACAAGCGAGCGCTTGTTGGACCGAAGGCATCTGGATCATAATATTGATGCTGTCGTGAAGATTTGCAAGGCTAGCCAAGTTTGCACAGATGGAAGAAGTTGAAGTGGCTTGTGAGGCCGCCTTTAGCCTCTCCAAATGATCTTTAACATCATTTACGATCGGGTGAGATTGAGATGGGAAACTGTTTGATCGAGCATGGAAGGAAGCCATTTTCTCTATCGAATGAATTTTTTCTGTATTTGGTGAAACTGAGAGAAGAAGATATCAAAGTAATTGCTTGGGTTCATCTCCTTGACACCACCTATTTATCTAGGCATATAAGGAATCATGTTTGCTGTAAATCGGAATAAACTATTAATGGTGCATGTGTTGCATGTCTCTCGGGTCTTTACGATGTAAATCGAAAAACTCAATTATACAGATCAGAATGACATAAAAATCGTTGATCGTGAAGCATGAGGAATCTTTTCAGACAGCTTAACTTTATTATATTTGGTGCAATGCAAATCATCTAAGCCAGAATTGTTTTCTGATCTGCAGACAATCATAGAAATAATGTAATGGGGCACATGCATATGCGACTATTAAGAATGAGACATCATGAGCTAATCAAGCCTCAGTTGAATGCGAGGCTGTAATTTTATATCCAATTAATAATGCCTGTCAAGATTCCAAGTGCTTCACTTTAAGGGTGTTAAATTGTCAGCAGGAACAGTTAAATCTAATGTTTTAATTATTTGTATCACTTTCGGGGAGCATGTAATTTACTTTAAGACATCCTGTGTAGAACAAATTCCTTCCGTTATTCTTTCTTGAATAATCCTTTATAGTTAGTGTCCCAAAGAGATGGTATTTCATGGCCGTCAATCTATGTGGTTGAAGCTCGAACAACAGGCCTATAGCCGATGGAGAAGACACGGAAGAAGCTCGAACAACAAGCATATAGCCGACAGAGCAGTTTGACTGGAGTTTTCAGAAGATTCTTCGCACCGAGTTTACATATGCTAGCAGCAAAAAATCTAGCGAAGCGAAATTCTCACGTTATTCTAAAAGGATAGATTGCACTTGTATGTTATATGTTCGTTCAGCGAAATACCGATAGAACATAGCATTTGCTTTGGTCTTGCCTTTAGCTGAGAAATGTTAGGACGGTAGGATACTAAACACACGACTTGGCTGATTAATGATTTCTTAAAACTCGCGTTAATTAGTATATAGATTTCAATTTTCACGAATAATCGGACCGCAGCTACCCAAATACAGAAACCAACCTCTGTACAAAAGCCAATAACAATCATATTGATCATGTAAA